GGGTCCTGAATTGAAACAGAAACTTAGTCAATGACTAAGTCTTTGTTGGGCACCCACAGACAATGAAGGAAACAGCATGTCAGCATGCCAGACCCTGGAAGGACTACAGAAAAAGTTCAAACACAGATTTTACCCCCGAGGAGGCTGTGCTCTCCTAGTTCAATATATGAAAAAAAAAAAAAAAAAAAATCAGTTCATAAAACATGACAGTAGATAACTGGGCTAATTCGGTATAGAAATGAGTGTCAAAACAAATGCATTGGCTGGGCTTGGTGACTCACACCCATAATCCCAGCACTCTGGGAGTCAAGGAGGGCAGATCATGAGGTCAGGAGTTCGACACCAGCCTGGCCAAGATGGTGAAACCCTGTATCTATTAAAACTACAAACATTAGCCAGGTGCAGTGGCAGGAGCCTGTAATCCCAGATACTCGAGAGGCTGAGGCAGGAGAATCACTTGAACCTGGGAGGTCAAGGTTGCAATGAGCTGAGATTGCGCCACTGCACTACAGCCTGGGTGACAGAGTGAGACTCCATCAGCGGGCAAGTGGTGGGGGTGGAGGAGTGGGGCAGGCAGGGGAGAAATATCACTTTTCTTTCCTTACTTCCCTATTTTTATTTTTGAGACAGGTCTCACTCTGTCACTCAGGCAAGAATGCAGTGGTGCAATCATGGCTTACAGTAGCCTCAACTTCCTAGGCTCAGATGATTCTCCTCCCCCAGCATAGCTGGGACCACAGGCACTCACACCATGCCCAGCTGATTTTTTTGTATTTTTGGTAGAGACAGGATTTTGCCATGTTGCTCAGGCTGGTCTTAAACTCCTAGGCTCAAGCAATCTGCCTGCCTCGAACTCCCAAGGTGCTGGGATTACAGGTGTGAGCCCTGGTGATTGGCCTTTTTTTTGGTTGTTGTTTGAAATAGGGTCTCATTCTGTTACCCAGGTTGGAGTGCAGTGGCTCGGTCATGGCTCACTGCAGCCTCTGCCTCCCAGGCTCAAGTGATCCTCCCACCTCAGCTTCCCGAGTAGCTGGCGTCACAGGTGTGCACTCATTCTATTTTTAGAGATGGGGGTCTCACTCCATTGCCCAGGCTGGAGTAGGTGATCATGGCTCATGGTAGCCTCCAACTCTTGGATTCAAGCAATCCTCCCGCCTCAGCCTCCTGAGTAGCTGGGACCACAGGAATGAACCACTACATGTGGCCTATTAAGTCACTATTTCTATAAATGGTGCCACCTTCCAAAAGTCCCCTTTGCCCCCATCTTTTTTGACTCCTTCTTTCCTCTCTCCTTTACCATTCCTCTCAGTCCTGTGGTCCTTTCTTTCTCGATGTCTTTTTAAATACCTCCCTTCCTTTCTTATCCCTACTCTCCACTCCTTCTCACCTGCTTCTAGAACTTCTGTTCTAATCCATCCTAATTCTACGTAAAGTCTCTATACCAAATCAAGCCTCTTTTTTTTTTTTTGGAGACTGAGTCTCACTCTGTTCCCCATGCTGGTGTACAATGGCACAATCTCGGCTCACTACAACCTCCACCTCCTGGGTTCAAGCAATTCTCTTGTCTCAGCCTCCTCAGGAGCTGGGATTACAGGTACCTGCCATCATGCCTGGCTAAATTTTGTATTTTTGTAGACAGGGTTTCATGCGTTGGCCAGGCTGGTCTTGAACTCCTGACCTCAAAGTGATCCACCCGCCTTGGCCTCCCAAAGTGCTGGGATTACAAGTGTGAGCCACAATGCCTGGCCTCAAATTAAGCTTCTTAAAATACCAATTCCATCTAGTACATGAGGAATGAGGACCTAATAATGGCAGAAATGGGCGTGGTGGCTCACCTATAATCTCAGCACTTTGGGATGCTGAGGCGGGTGGATCAATTGAGGTCAGGAGTTCAACACCAGCCTGGTAAACATGGTGAAACCCCGTCTCTACTAAAAATACAAAAATTAGCCTGGCATAGTGACACACACTGGTAGTCTCAGCTACTTGGGAAGCTGAGGCTGGAGAATCACTTGAACACAAGCAACGGAGGTTGCAGTGAGCCAATACTGTGCCACTGCCCTCCAGCCTGGGTGACAGAGTGAGACTCCATTTCAAAAAGATAACTAAATAAATAAACTTATTGGGCTGGAAATTGGAAACCCTGTAGAATTTGGTCTTAATTTCCCAGCCTTATCTTCCCTCATTTCCAAACACCTCTGTTACTGTGTGCCCCAAGCAGGTTTGCTCTCTCCACATCACCACCTAATGTTTTTTCAGCCAATTTTTTCCCATTCTTTAATGGCTGGCTCAAATGCAGTATCCTCATTGAATCATCTCTTCTCCCATCCCCAGTTCCTTAAAGAGAATGTCTGCATTTTAGCACTGCCTTGTATCTTTATCTTTTAAGAGTTCTTTATCTACTCCAGCATCACCTCCATCCAACTAAAGGCAAAATCTTCTTGAACTTTCTAATTGCTTTAATGCCTCACACAGCAGGTACTCATTAAACACTGATTGATCGATCATGGTGGGACCTGAGAGAAGACTGAAGTCATCAAGAGATGGTTTGTGAGGAAACAGAATCTGAGAAGTTTTCAAGCATTTAGTTGAGGAAAGGGAAGTAGGGCTTCCAGGTAAGGATAGCAATGGGTATTGGTAAGCCAAGAACATCAGACTGAGCAGAACACAAAAATGTATGTGGAAGCCACAGAGAAAAAGGCCTGGAACAACCAAGGCAACAGTGGAATGGCTTGATTCAACGGAAGTACGCTTCTGGGAGCAGAATGGACTGAGGAGAAGTTAGGATGGGAGAGACCTGAGACCCTGGGCCAAGCAGAGGCCTTTGCAACAATTCAGGCAAACAAGGGGTGACGAGGACCCTGAAATGATGCTGAACCCCAACTGCTGGTTTGTTCAACTGGTACAGTTCACATCATTAAGTCATAACAACTGTGAAGCTTGTGTCTCTACAGTTATCATGTGACGCCCCCCCCCACCTTCTTCACTCTCCCTCAAAAACAAGCATGTCCCTCTCATTTCATAACGTGACTCTAAGCTGGGTGCAGTGGCTCATGCATGTAATCCCAGCACTTTGGAAGGTAAAGGTGGGAGGATCGCTCAAACTCAGGAGTTCGAGACCAGCCTGGGCAAAATAGCAGGACCTCATCTCTTTGTAAAATTTGGTCTTAATTTCCAAGACTTCATCTCTACTAAAAATCAAAATAATTAGCCAAGCATGGTAGTATGTGCCTATAGTCCCAGCTACGCAGGAGGCTGAGGCAGGAGACTCACTTGAGCATAGGGGTTCAAGGCTACAGTGAGATATAATCGTGCCCCTGCACTGCAGTCTGGACAAGACCCATTGTCTCAAAAACAAGTAACAAAATGTAACTCTAAATCTAGCGTATTAAACTCAGCTGAGGTCATTTAAGTTATTCACTATCCATATTAATATCTTCAAAGCAAACTAATTCGACTTTGGTTATAGCAAGTGAGGCATTTCTGGGCAAGTGGTTTGATTGGAATCAGGATGTCCTCTTTTTGTGAAATTATGGCAGTAGTACCTGCTTTGCTAGGATACTTGGTAAACGAATTTAATGATTATCTGTAGAGTACTCTGAGCTCCTTGGAGAACAGTTCCATACATAGAGAAGCCTTTATGACCTGCCTGCAACTGCAGATTTTGCAAATATAATTTCTCTTTTGGGAAATGCTCCCCTTTAAACTGAAACTCAACCCCCTGAAGGGGGTTTCTTAATAAGAAAAATCAGACAACTTGAGGAAATAGCTATCACATCGAACACCCCGGAAGCAGTACTAAATAAGAGACCTCAGAACAAGGCAGTACTAGGTATCTCACATGTCCCATCACCAATCCAATTTCCCCTCTACTTAAAAGAGGCTTCCAGGTTTAGCCTATAGGAAAGTTCACTTATTAACCCTCAGGCAGAGTACTATCTGCTAACCAGGTTAACACACATTTCCTTCGTAGCACTCTAATTCACAGTGGAATGACAGCAGTATGCCTCTAGAACTACAGCTTCAGACTGTGCTTCTCAGCCTTACTCAGAATAGATTGTCAACAGTGACTCGTTAGGATGTTCAAGCGGGGGTGTATGTATGTGTCAGGGGAGTCCCCGACACCGATTTCACCATGCTGCTTTGGTCACTGGAAGAAAAAGGTAGCTCTCTGTTCTCTATGGTCGCTCTCTTTGGAAAATTATTTTCACTTCAAGCATTCTGCCTGAGCGAAGAGGTCACTTCTCGAACACATGGTCACAATTCTGAAGCTGCCAGGCGAGTGAACGCAGTCGGCAGCACCCACCACGCCCGGAAATTCAGCCCCAATCTGAAGCTTTTCCCTTAGTCAGGGATTGGGGCGCTGGGGTCCCAGAGTCACAGCCGGGCGGCCGCCCCACCACAATCTCCCCAAAGAGTCGATGCATGTCAGCCCGAAGATCTTGGCTGTCGCCTGTTCCGAGCCTGCGGGGCCGTATGAGACCCCGAGTTCACGCGCCGCAGCGAGTGAAGCGAGGGCCGGGCATGGGCCCGGGCGCCCTGCTCGGGAAGGGGCGTGATCGCGGGCTGCTCGCGGCGAGGGCGAGCCCGGGCGTGGGCTGCGAAGAAGCGACGCCGTGGAGCCCGGGGAGGGGAGGTGGGGGTGAAGAAATGAGCAGCCCAGCGGCTCGAGGGCAGGCAGAAGCGGCCGCGGCTACTCACTCAGCCAGGACTCCAGGCTCTCCCCTTCCGTCTCCGCCATATTGCAGCCGCCCGGGCCGGCCCCGCGGCCTCAAAACTCGCGAGAGTCTGAACGAGCTGAGGCGGGGCGGCGCCTGCATGGGGGCCTGAGGGAAGCAAGTGCCGTCACCGAGTACCGCGCCAGACTGCGACGAATATTGGAAGGGCAAGTGTTTCCTTTTGGCTCTTCCCTTTGGACCCTGGAGTGAGGAACTCTAACGTCCAGATCAGTGGTGAAACTCAGACTTAGGACCCCGAGGAGTTTTTTTCACTCGTTTTCCGTCACTTGCTTAGGCGCGCCGAGGGCAGTCTTTGTGGGGTCCTCGTAGCCAGCCAAGATGGCTGCCCCCGCAGTGAAGGTTTCCCGAGGTTGGTCGGGCCTGGCGCCGATCGTGCGGCGGGCTGTCTGGCAGCATCCAGGGTGAGAGGGCAGCGGGGGGCGCCGAGTGGTTCTACACGGAGGGACCTCCGTGGAAGGAGGGGGACCACAAGCAGGCCACTTGGGGCTCTGGAGAGAGCATTGCCCTGTGGGCCGTAGTATCTCGATTCAAGCTTCTAAACTAGCTACGTGACTTTGGGTTAATCCGAAGGCTTAGTGACTACCTCTTGCCTAAGGGGTCTGGCTGATCTAGGGTTCGAACGCAGAGCTGAAAGTGCGGTTCAGCTAAAGAGTTCAGAGCTGGGATCACCTATGAATTGGGAGGGGTTGGAGGAGGTGCGTAGGCGCGGAGCCCATCCTTGCTGTTAGCACTTGACCAGGAGGACACTTTACCGCCTGCTTGGGGGATGTCCTCCTTCTTGGGACAAGGGCCTAAATTGTTGTGGCTCAGGTTTAGCTCGCCGTCTCCGCGCCGCTCTCCCTCGTCCGCGCGTTGGCAATCATGCCTATTGTTAAGTAAAACCTACTCGCTTATGGAGTAAGCTTTTGCTTGCCTCCTCCTTTTCCCTCTCCCAGGCTAACTCAGGTGAGGTGGAGCCGCTATAGTGCTGAATTCAAGGATCCCCTGATAGACAAGGAACATTATCGCAAGCCTGTGGAGAAGCTAACTGAGGAGGAAAAGTATGATCGGGAACTCAAGAAGACTCAGCTCATCAAAGCTGCTCCAGCAGCGAAAACAAGTTCTGTGTTTGAAGACCCAGTCGTCAGGTTAGACGGAAACAAACACTTGTTCCATGGACTGGGACTATCCCAGGGAGGGCCTCTGTTGAGGATTCCGTGATACAGCCTTGGAGAGCTAAACATGTTGCTTTTCTCTTTTAAGTAAATTCACCAACATGATGATGAAAGGAGGAAACAAAATACTGGCCAGATCCCTCATGACTCAGGTAAACAGCACCTCCCTCCTCAGTCATCTTTCTGTTCTCCCCATACCCTTGTACTTGGTACTTGCAATGTAGCTTAAGAGCAAATGGATTCATATACCTATTATTAAGATTAACTTCCCTGCATGTGTAGGGGCTTTAACAAAGGCCTGTAGGAGTCAACAACTGCCATTCCTTGGTGTTTCGGAAATAAACACACGATTTTTTTTTTTTTTTAACTAGAAAGGAATCCCTGAGACACACAGTTAAAAAAAAAAAAGGAAAAAATAGAACTGCCATTCTCCACCCCACCTCCCATGCCACAAATCTCAATCCACTCTTTTTGTCCTAGTCTAGCAAAGAGAGAGGCACTTAAAAACTTCGTTTTGGATGTGCTGTGAGAGGAGCTGCTTTGCCATAGCAGAACCAGAGGATGAGAGTAAAGGGCAAGGTACTAGGTTGGCTAGCTAAACCCTTTAGGGAACCTAGGGCAGCCTCTTCCACTGTATTCCTTTGCAGACTCTGGAATCTGTGAAAAGGAAGCAGTTTGAGAAGTACCATGCCGCTTCTGCAGAGGAACAGGCAACCATTGAACGGAACCCCTACATCATCTTCCACCAAGCACTGAGAAACTGTGAACCTATGATTGGGCTGGTACCGATCCTCAGAGGAGGCCGTATATATCAGGTGAATGAACGGACAGGGCAAGAAAGCAGAACTACCCACAGGCCAGCTGCGGTGGTGCACACCTGTAGTCCCGGCACTTTGGGAGGCCAAGGAGGGTAGATCACCTGAGGTCAGGAGTTTGAGACCAGCCTGGCCAACATGGTGAAACCTTGTCTCTACTAAAAGCATAAAAATTAGCCAGACTTGGTGGCACATGCCTATAATCCAGATACATAGGAGACTGAGACAGAATTGCTTGAACATGGGAGGCAGAGGTTGCAGTGAGCTGAGATCGTGCCACTGTACCAGCCTGGGCGACAGAGTGAGACTTTGTCTCAAAAAAAAAAAAAGCTGGACTCCCCACATAGGTGGTACTTGGGAGTTGGGTCAAGATTGGTAGCTCTCTAGCTGGTACAGTGGGATTACACCTGTAATCTCAGCACTTTGGGAGCCTAATGCAGGATAGCTTGAGCTCAAGAGTTAGAGACCAGCAGAACAACATATGGAGACCCTGTCTCTACAAAAAAACAAAAAACTTAGCCAGATGTGGTGGTGTGCACCTGTGGTCCCAATTAGGAGGCTGAGGTGGGAGGATCACTTTAGTCCAGGAGGTTGTGATTGTGCTACTGCATTCCGCCTGGGCAAGAGAGAGAGGCCTTGTCTCCAAAAAAAAAAGGTTGAGGCTGTTATGTCATGATCCACTCCTCTGAGTCCTGCAGTATAAAAATTATAGGAAGTAGGCAGAAGTTGGAAGAGAGCAAAAAAGTTTCTAAATGCATGACAGCTGGGAGTCCACCATCTGGCCTTTCTGTCAAGCCTTCTGTGTGTCCTAACCTGTAAAATTCTCATGATGAGGGACTATTCATATCCTCTCTTTCTATACCAGTGCTTAGCATAGTGCTTGACCCATAACTGATGTTTCATCACTGTTTGCTGAATGGTACTAGGTATCTCTTTTCATAGCATTTCATTATATTTTATTGTCATAAGTGAGTTTTCTTGTGTTCTTTTTCGATATAAACTCCATAGGGGACAGGCCTGGTGGCTCACACCTGTAATCCCAGCACTTTGGGAGGCTGAGGTGGGCAGATCACCTGAGGTGGGGAGTTCGAGACTGGCCTGGCCAACATGGAGAAACCCCGTTTTTACTAAAAACACAAAAAAATTAGCTGAGTATTCTGGCACATGCCTATAATCCTAGCTACTTGGGAGGCTGAGGCAGGAGAATCACTTGAACCCTGGAGGTGGAGGTTGCAGTGAGCCAAGACTGTGCCATTGCACTCCAGCCTGGGCAACATGAGCGAAACTTTGGGGAGAAAACAAAAACTCCATAGGGACTTCCTCATTATTGTCTGCCCTCTAGTGTCTAGCATGGTACCTGACACATAGTGAGGGCCTGGCAAATAATTTTTGGGCACAGCGTCTTGCTTTTTGTTCTTTTTAATTTTTTGAGGTGGAGTTTCACTCTTCTTGTCCAGGCTGGAGTGCAGTGGTGTGATCGCAGCTCTCTGCAGCCTCCACCTCCCGGGTTCAAGTGATTCTCCTGCCACAGCCCCCAACTTCCCCCGCCCAGTAGCTGGGATTACAAGTATCCACCACCACACCTAATTTTTTTGTATTTTTAGTAGAGATGGGGTTTTGCCTTCTTGGCCAGCCTGGTCTGGAACTCCTGGCCTCTGGCGATCCACCGGCTTTGGCCTTCTTTAACTGTTTTCATAGATACTGAAGGAGTCTTGTTTTTAGTTACCTATGGTCTGAGGTAAGTCACCCCAGCTAATGGGGCTTTTCCCATTTGGTTCTTATAACAACTTGGCAGGACTACCATTTAGGAGAGGAAAAGGCCAGTGCTTTTTTTTTCCTTTTAATATATATGGAGACAGGGTCTTGTTATTCTGACCAGGCTGATCTTGAACTCCTGGATTCAAGCCATCCTCCTGCCTCAGCCTCCTAAAGTGCTGGGATTATAGGTGTGAGCCACTGTGCCTGGAGAAGCCAGTGCTTAATGAGTGTTTGCTGAATGAATGCCTCTTGTGTCTGCTACATTGAGCTCACCTGAAGGTGAGGGAAGCTCAGAGAAGAAAAGACAGGCCCTTTTCCCCAGGCCTGACCCAAAGGTAACGTGTAAGCCCCAAGCCTGGCAGACTCTTGGACAAACTTGGCTATGTTCTCTCACCCAGGTTCCTACATCCCTACCAGACCGACGTCGCCGCTTCCTGGCCATGAAGTGGATGATCACTGAGTGCCGGGAGAACAAGCATCGGCGGATGCTGATGCCGGAGAAACTGTCACATGAGCTGCTGGAGGCTTTTCATAACCAGGGCCCCGTGATCAAGAGGAAGCACGACATGCACAAGATGGCTGAGGCCAACCGTGCCCTGGCCCACTACCGCTGGTGGTAGAGGCTCCAGGAGCCCAGGGGCTCTGCCGCAAGCAACAGTGTGAGCCACTGCATACTGTAAAATATCTGTGATTAAAGATGTAGCTGCTTTGTAAGGGTGGGCAAGCCTCAGAAGAAAGATAGAGCAGCACATTTACTGTCCAGGAATCCTTTCTTTGAGGCTAGAACTTGCTCTCTCTGCCCCCATTGCCTTGTAAAGATCCCTCACTGACTTGGGGATTTCATGCAGGAAACTCAGGTCCCCAGTCTTCTCTTCCCTCAGCTTGAGGTGGACTTTTGGATATAAAAGGAAGCAGTTTTAGTATCAGCAAAGATTTATTGGAAAATTCTCACGCTGACCTGGTATAGCATGTGGTGCAGTGCCAGCATTCATTGAAACTCGCTGGAGGAAATAGGCTTGTTTCCCGAGTTGTCCTTGTACAAAATGTATAAAAAGTAGTTTCTGGTGTGACGTGCTCTGCCTCTGCCCCTTGATATCCCAATGCATCCTACCAATGGCTATGCTTACCCGTTTTACAGATAGATAAACTGAGGCACCAAGGTAGCTGTTACAGTAATGGTTACAGTGTAGTGGCTCTTAGGAGCTACCCTTCTCTGCCTGGCCCTGGTGGGAGGTGGTGGGGAAGGGGCTCAGGGCAGGACCACGGCATAAGTGGGAAACATCTCCCCAGGAGATGAGAAAGTCTAGAAGAGAAGAAGCTCAAAGTCTGGAAGGTCTTTGGGAGGGGCAGAGACTCCACTGCCAGCTTCAGAGGTGGACAGAAGAAAGGCTGGTGCTGGCAGGTTAGCCCTGATCTGGTGGCCTAGTCAGAGACTTCGCTGTAGTAATACTTATGGGCAGCTGGTGTCGTCTTCCAGCCGGCTGCCCGGAACTCAATGATCTCCAGCAGCAGCAGCTGGGCCAGGGAGCTTAGGCTGGTTGGAAGCAGGAAGCCATCCCGGATCAGCACAAAGAGCTCATCCATGCGCTGCCCGTTCATTTTCTCCAGCTGCTCCCCAACCCGGTGCAGCTGCAACACCAAACAGTCCACCTGTAGGGTACAGTGGGAGTGACGCGAGTGAACCAGGGCAGGGCCAGCTTCTCACACAGCATTTGCTGAGTGCCAGGCGCTGTGCTTTGCCTTTACACTTGTTCTCTTGCTCCCTCCTCCTCATCCAGTGGGTATTTCTTATGGAGAAAGAAACAAGTTCAGGAACTTGACTGAGGTCCCTCGTGTAGCCAGGCTCCACTCAATGCCTGTCTCCAAACCACTTCTCCATCCCCCTCTCCTGCCTCCCCCAAATTGCCTGAACCTGGTTTGGCTTCAGAGCCATCTGTAACCACAGCTGGCCATGGCTCACATGGCCACCATCATAGGTTGGCTTTCTGACTGGGAAGGAAGCTGCTGACCGGTAGGTTTTGGCTACTTTCTGTTCTGGATAAATTCCAGACCTGACAGCTGGTCGTGTAACTCGGACAGGCCTTAAACACCCCCACACTCCTGCCCCAGAAGTGACGGCCTCAAAGGCTTCACTGAGCAGTGGGCTGGCACTCAGCTGAGCCAGACCGTTCATCCCGCAGCCTTCCGTGCCTATGCTGGGATTGGGGCCACCCACCTCCTCCTCCTTGCTCAAACTGTCTGGCTGGGCCAGCCGGAAGAGGCAGTCATAGACGGGGTTCACCAGGGCCATCATGGGCATGTTGTTCACCTGTGAGGGGGAGGAGGGGCCAGAGCACTGGGCTTAGTGACCAAGGGGAGCAGGCCAACCTGGGCCTCAGGAGACGGCCATGTCTGCCTCCCAGAGTGGCTGCCAAGGCCTCACCCTCAGGTAGTCAAAGATGTTGCAGATAAAGGTGACATAGCAGACCCAGCCCTGCAGGGAGCGTGCTCGAAGCTGCTCCCGAGCCTGGTACTCCTGCTGCAGTCGGTTGAGGAGTCCGCGCCGGAAGACACTCTGGCCTGCTTGTTTACTCTCTGCCTGTGAGCCAGGGAGAGGAAGGTGAAGGGGGGTGGGGTGGGTGGCAACCCCACCCATCCTATGCCTGTCTCTGTCCTGCAGGCCAGGCCTTCTGCCCACTCCTGAAGCACCTTCCTCAAAGCAACTTCCTTTACTCTCCCAACCCCCAACCTGAATGATGGCGTAGCACATGCGTCCTGCTTCCTTGCTGAACACAGAGTCCTGCAGAGAATGGTCCACAATCACATTGGCTACTTTCTCCAAGTCCACAGCACCTGGATCTAGGGGTAGAGATAGGAGGGGAGTCTAGAGCTGCTGCTATCACATTTGCCTCCACCCACTTCTAAGAAGAAGTTGAGATATTTATAGGAGAGCATTCTCATCTGCTTGAAGTGAAAGATCAGAAATCATACCAAGGACAGTGGCTCCAGTGGTGCAATCGGTTAGCGCATGGTACTTAGAAATCATGGCCAGGTGCGATGACTCACAACTGTAATTCTAGCAATTTTGGGAGACTGAGGTGGGTGGATTACCTGAGGTCAGGAGTTTGATACCAGCCTGGCTGACATGGTGAAACCCCATCTCTACTAAAACTACAAAAATTAGCTGGGCATGGTGGCTTGTGCCTGTCATCTCATGTTATCCCAGCTATTCAGGAGGCTGGGGCAGGAGAATTGCTTGAACCCAGGAGTCGGAGGTTGCAGTGATCCAAGATGGCACCACTGCACTCCAGCCTTGGCAACAAAGCAAGACACCGTCTCGGGGGAAAAAAAAAAAAAAAAAAGGAATTTCATACAGAGAGCCAGCATTTTGAAACCTGGCCAACATTTTGAAACCCCGTCTCTACAAAAATACAAAAAGTTGGCTGGGCACGGTGGCTCACGCCTATAATCCCAACACTTTGGGAGGCTGAGGCGGGTGGATCACAAGGTCAGGAGTTCAAGATCAGCCTGGCCAATATGGGCCAGGCATGGTGGCAAGGGCCTGTGTCCCAGCTACTTGGGAGGCTGAGGCAGGAGAATCACTTAAACCTGGGAGGCAGAGGTTGCAGGGAGTTGAGATCGTGCTACTGCACTCCAGCCTGGGCAACAAGGGCGAAACTGTCTCAAAAAAAAAAATCATATAGAAGACAGTAACCTTACAAATGAACAGCTTTAGCTGTCTGTCTTCTGGTTGCCCAGTCAGAGAAAATGAGGAGGGTATGTGGCTGGAAGGGACCAATCAAAATAAGAATATCGTTTTTCAGGAAATGCATCTTTTCCTGGCACTAGGCTGAGGAAGGAATACTGACCAGGACACGTCTCCAACAGCAATTTCACAAGAAAAAGTGTTCTTATACTATACATACACGAATCCCCAACTAGAGAGGGCCACACAGGGCCTCCCAACAGGCTCGGCTTGGCACTTGATGGGTCTTGCTAATTGTTGAAGACAAACTTCTGTCCTGAGTGTTACAGCAGGAAGGCATCGGGCCAGGGGAATAACTATACCTCCTCTGGCAAATGGAATATTCTCCATCTTCTGTCTCAAAGCAGGCAGCTGTGCATTCAAGAGAGGGGGCTACTGCAATGCAGAAACAGCCAATTCAAATGTAAGCGCTTCAAGGGTAGGAGCTGTGTTCTTTTTTTATGGTTGAACTTTTAAAAATTTGAGACAGGGTCTCGCTCTGTTAGCCAGGCTGGAGTGCAGTGGCAGGCTCATGGAACCTATACCCTCACCCTCCCAGGCTCAATCAGTCCTCCTACCTCAGCATCTTAAGTATCTGGGACCACAGGTATGTGCCACCATGCCGGCCTCATTTTTCAATTTTTTTTTTTTGTAGAGGTGGGGTTTGCCCCATGTTTCCCAGACTGCTCTTGAACTACTGGACTCAAGCAATCCACCCACGTTGGCCTTCCAAAGTGCTGGAACTACAGGCATGAGCCACTGCGCCTGGCCCTATGGTTAAGCTTTTTAAAAAGTCTTTACAGTCTGAAAGGTGACTGTGACTCATACTCCAGAATAACGACCTAAAATGTAGCTTGTCTTCCAGTTCAACAATTACACTGCCGACTCCTATCATCACAGAATGATGGAGGCATTCACCAGGCTCAGCCCTCTGGTGCTGCCCACAGGGGCCCTTCTCTGTGGCTCCTGATCCCAGCTCAGGAGGGGCTCCCGTGCTCACCTTTGAGTGCTGTCTTCAGCAGCTGCTGGGTCTCTGCATCAAAGGACTGGATTTTATACTCCTCTCTACTGGGCTCCCCCATGACCTGCCAGCCCTGGTAGCTCTTGACCGGGCTGGGACTAAGGACAGCACCTGGGGAGAAGAGGCGAAGGGAACGACCTCAGGTGTGGAGCACAGGGAGGGTTCTGTCCTACAGGCCCTGGGCAGGGCTGACGATGCTCGGGACAGGGGCTCTGTGCAGTCCGTGGCGTGCAATGGTTGTGGTTGGTTGAGGGCCCACCAGGCTTGGCTTCTGGCGGGGACTGGGCATCAGCCAGGTACCTGCTGCTCAGTTTAGAAACTCCACGCTTGTGGGATTACACAAGAGCGAGAAGCTGAAGCAGAAAAGCGCCCACCCTCTAGTCCCAGCAGGAGGCAGGGGTGGACTGGGGCAGGGTGTGTGCGGGCGGACGTTAGAGTTGCTTAAAGACACCGGCCTGACGCTGCTGGCCCGGCATGATGCCGGGTGAGGGTCAGGCTGGGAACTCCAAGCGGCGCGGCTCTGTCCCCAGCAGGGCTCCAAACCTCTCTCTCCAACCCTCTCTTCCCGGCTTTCGCCGAGTCCTTCGGTCTAAACACCCGCTGCTGCATCTCCCGGGTGGGGCCGGCCTGCGCGGATGGGGACAGGTTGCCCTGTCCGCCGCCTCGGCCAGGCGCAGCCTGAACTCCCCGACCCTGCCAGCTTCTCCCCGGGACAGACTGGTCGGACCGGCCCCAAAGTGGCGGCAACCAGGCCCTACCCACTCGAGACTCCTAATTCCTGAGCTCCATTCTGGATCCTTCCTCTTACGGGGGTTGGGGGCACAGGATGATGCGCCCTCGAGAGGTGGCTCCCGCCGGAGGCTCCCCTCTGGCCATAGGAGGCGCCGTCGGGGTCTCCAGCCCTCCCCACGAGCCCGGAACTCCCCTCCCGGCGGCACAGGGCGGACTGCGGACCTCAAGGTCCAGAGTCCCTGCAGGCTGGAGAGGCGGCGTGGGCAGCTGGACCCACCTGCCGGACCGGCGGCGCGCGCGCGCGTGCCCGGGGCCGCCTTTCGGCTGAAAGCGCGCGACTCGCGTCAGGCGCTGCGGGGGCCGCCGTGATCTCATCTCCTCGCGCGGCGCCGGGGAAGGGCCGGCTCGTCCGCGCCACCTGCCGGCCCCCGGTGGCACTGCTCTGGCCGCCCGGCCGCCCCGGAAGCCGAGTCGCCCGCGTGGGGCCCCGGCGGAGACGCGGGGGACCCTGCGACGCTGCCACCCCCAGCCAGGTGGAGCTCGCTGGGTCCGTACCCTCCTCACCCGGTGCGCCCCGGCCCTGCCCGGGCCCACGCCGGACCCGCCAGCTCCTCAGTCTTGCGCGTGGCCCCGCACCCAGCCCTCCCCGAGCTCAGGTGCACGGGGGTGAGGCGGCGGGAGACACCGCTGGGCCGCGCGGCGTGGAAGAAGCCTGCAGACAGTGTGGTGGGGACCCGGTGGCAGGAGAGACGGTATCTGCCCTGGTCACACCACGTTTCCCGCTCCTCCAAACCAGGTAGAGAAGGCAGGGGCTGCAGGGCCGGGGCCAGCCACGACCCCCTCCCTCTCCAAGGAGGACGTGGGCGTAGCGAGTTGCAGGTCAGAGGGGCAGCCCCGAGAAGGGGGCCCCGTGGGCAACTCGCGGCCGTCGGGTGTTGGGAGTGCCCCTGAAGGGGCGCGTCTGCTCTGGGTGACAGGAGGGCACCTAGAAGGCGGGAAGAACTGCCGCCGCTCCTGCCGCGGGACTGGGAGAAGCGCCGCCGGCGCTGCCCGCGTTGCGGCCTCCAGTTAAAAGAACCGCCAAAGTGGTCACCGAAAACGGACGAGGAGAAGAATGCTCAGCTGCAGCAAAAGAAACTAATGGCCAGGAGAAAGGAAGATAATAAACTTAACGGAATTTCATAAAAAATACATTCCGGCCTGGTACAGCGGCTTACACCTGTAATCCCAGCACTTTGGGAGGCCGAGGTGGGCAGATCACCTGAGGTTGAGACCAACCTGACCAACATGGAGAAACCCCATCTCTACTAAAAATATAAAAAAAGTGGCCGAGCATGGTAGCACATGCCTGTAATCCCAGCTACTCAGGAGACTGAGGCCGGAGAATCGCTTGAACCCGGGAGGCGGAGGTTTTGGTGAGCCGAGATTGCGCCATTACACTCCAGCTTGGGCAACAAGAGCGAGACTCTGTATCAAAAATAAAGATAAAAAATACATTCAGGCAGCTGCATCCCCGCGGACTCCACCACAGCCTGGACCTTGGGAACCAGCAGCACAGAGCCAAGAAGCCCCAGCATTCAGGGCCCAGACAGACCCAAAAATCCCAGACCAGAGGCAGGGAAGGATGGTGCTAAAAGGAGCCCAGGACCCACACCAGACACAGGGCTGGAGAGGGAGGCAGAATGGAGAGCTCCCCCCAGGTGAAAGCAACCCCACAGGCCAGGCAGGTGGAGGGAAGGGTGAAGGTCGTATTCTGGAGACCTCCCCTCAGCCTGGAACTGGTATCTCCTCTGCCTCTCCACCTGTGGGTGTCCCTGTGCTTTGGTAACACCCTAGGCCCCAGTTGTGCCCTCACCAGGCTGCCCACCCGCCCCTTCCTTCTGCCATCCCCATCAGGGGGCTGCTTCAGAGCCCCCGCCCTTCTGGGGCTACAGGGGAGGAGGCACCCAAGCAGGCAGTGAGTGCTGATGCCACTTGTCCTGCCAACAGCTCCTCACCCAGCAAGGCTGACCCAGCCCAGGGTGAAAGAGGAGCCTGTAGACTGGGGAAAGGCTGCACCTTCACCCACACCTGCCTATGGCATGGCTTCTCTGCTTCCTGCACAGGCACTGAGATCTGCTTCCCATGGAGTCCCACTGAGCCCCAGGGCCAAGGCCAGCCTGGTCCTGGGAGAGGACAGCCTGGGTGGTGGTGTGTCTGCAGACACCAAGATCTGGGCACGGGGCTCAGGAAGTGACTGGCTCAGCCTGGAGTATCCACCGGCACTAGCAAAGCTGCCAAGGGCTGCAGCTATGGAGAACAAGGGATTTGAGGAAGGCAAGAGTTCCTTCCCTCAAACTTTGTGAGCAGGAAGGAGATGGGCCAGAGGAGGTGGAGGAATAAGATAAGGAATGTGCGTTTAGCTTTAATGTCTATTAAATAGGTTGAGAAAAACAGGCCAAGTGTCGGGACTTGACTCCTGCAGAGGCCCTAGCACAGCCCTCTGCACTCCAGCTGCAGCCCCATCCAGACCAGGAGCGTTGTGTTCTGGCTGACGGGTGTAGGATGGCGTCTGTTTCCTTTGGAGTGTGGGCTGGTCAGAGGAGAAACAGCAACTTCATGCTCCTTCTCACTACATCGTTGGTTCACCACAGACCACGTCCTGCATTCCCTCTGATTGTCTCACTGGGAATGCCCTGGACCTTCTGGTGGTGTCCCAGCTGGGTGGGTTCAAGGCCGTCACCCTGCTCAGGGCAGCTAGCCTGCAGGGAAGGGCCAGGTAGCACCTCTCAGTGGAGACTGAGTCTGCCTTCCTTCAGGAGGCTGCCTCCAGGGAAGACCTTGGGGTCCTTCCTGGCCTCAGCGCTGGCTGGTTGTCTTGTTCATGCAGTGGAAGACGTTACAGAAGAATTCATACCAGAAGAACATGAAGCCAGTGGAGAGGGCAGCCTTGAGCAGGCTGGGGGACAGGCCCTTGAAGAAGCCCAGGGTACCTTCCTCTTGCAGCACCTGCTTGGTACAGTCCACCAGGCCCTTGTATTTCCGCACCTGGGGAAAGGAAAGGGGCGAGAGATGGATGTCCACTCTGCTGCCGTCAACATAGGCCCTGGCACGCCACAGCTCTCAAGAAGTACTTGGACAAAGCAATGAATGCAAAATAGCAAATATTTTTATTTTTATTTTTTGTTGAGGCAGAGTCTCACTCTGTTGCCCAGGCTGGAGTACAGTGGCACAGTCTTGGCTCACTACAGCCTCTGCCTCCCAGGTTCAAGCAATTCTCCTGCCTCATCCTTCATAGTAGCTGGGATTACAAGCACACACCACCACGCCTGGCTAATTTTTTGTATTTTTAGTAGAGACAGGGTTTCACCATGTTGGGCAGGCTGGTCTTGAACTCCTGACCTCAGGTGATCTACCGGCCTCAGCCTCCCAAAGTGCTGGGATTACAGGTGCAGGCAACCATACCTGGCTCAAAATAGCAAATAAATTAACCTCATTCTTCCTTTTTTTTTTTTTTTTTGAGATGGAGTTTCGCTCATTCCCCAGGCTGGAGTGCAATGGCATGATCTCAGCTCACCGCAGCCTCCACCTCCTGTGTTCAGGCAGTTCTCCCTCAGCCTCCAGAGTAGCTGGGACTATAGGCACGCACCACCATGCCCAGCTAATTTTTTGTATTTTTAGTAGAGACGGGGTTTCACCATGTTGACTAGGATTGTCTCGATCTCTTGACCTCGTGATCCACCTGCGTCGGCCTCCCAAAGTGTGGGATTACAGGTAACCTCATTCTTTCTATTGCAATTGGGTTAAGACTGAATGGATGACAGGCCTAGAAGTTAGCAGCTAGACAGAGCTTCTTCCTGCCCAGGAAGAATGGCTGCCTATGACAAAGAATCCAGCAATGGCTCGGAAACCTCTTCCCAGAGGTGTCTCTGACCCTTTATCCCATCCTACCTGATCCTTCTTGGGCAGGAGACCTGAACCTGGCCCTCCGTAGCTCTCAGCCGGGCTTCCCTGCCTTCAGCCTCACCCTCTCCAGCTGACTTCACACACTGCTGCCAGCCTTTCAACCCAAGGCACAGTCCTCAGGCCTAGCTTCCCCTCCAAAAGCTGCAGTAACTCCTAGTGACAAGGACATCATGAGAAATCAGGTCCAAACCCCAAGACCTGCTGTTCAAGTCACTCCACCGTTTGGCCTTGACTTCCTTCCCTGATCTGACCATCACTGGTCTTCCCACGTGCCCTTCCCACCTCTGGCCAAACTGGAAATACACTAGTCTTCGTTAGCAGCAAGGCCTCCCTCTGCCATGCTGGGCTCTCGCCATTGCTCCCTGTCCAAATTCAAACTGTCCCTTCATACTGGTGCAGTGGTGCATGCCTGCAGATCTAGCTACTTGGGACACTGAGCCCAGAGGTTTGCTTGAGCCCAGGAGTTCAAGACCAGCCTAGGCAACAGAGTAATATCACATCTTAAAACAAACAAAGGGCCGGGTGCGGTGGCTCACATGTGTAATCCCAGCACTTTGGGAGGCAGAGGCGGATGGATCACCTGAGGTCAGGAGTTTAAGAACAGCCTGATCAACATGGAGAAACCCCATCTCTACTAAAAACACAAAATTAGCCAGGCACAGTGGTGCATGCCTGTAATCTCAGCTACTCGGGAGGCTGAGGTAGGAGAATTGCTTGAACCTGGGAAGTGGAAGTTGCAGTGAGCTGAGATCATGCCATTGCACTCCAGCCTGGGCAACAAGAGCAAAACTCCATTTCAAAAAAAAAAGAATGCCAGGTGCAGCGGCTTATGCCTGTAATACTTTGGGAGGCTGAGGCAGGCGGATCACCTGAGGTCAGGAGTTTGAGACCACCCTGGCCAATATGGTGAAACCCTGTCTCTACTAAAAATACAAAAATTAGCCAGGCGTGGTGGTGGGCACCTGTAATCCCAGCTACTCTGGAGACTGAGGCAGGAGAATTGCTTGAATCTGGGAGGTAGAGGCTGCAGTGAGCCAAAATTGTGCCTCTGCACTCCAGCCTAGGTGACAGAGTGAGACTCAGTCTTCTTTTTTTTTTTTTGAGACGGAGTTTCGCTCTTGTTACCCAGGTTGGAGTGCAATGGCACGATCTTGGCTCACCGCAGCCTCCGCCTCCTAGGTTCAGGCAATTCTCCTGTCTCAGCCTCCCGAGAAGCTGGGACTACAGGCACGCACCACCATGCCCAGCTAATTTTTGTATTTTTAGTAGAGACGGGGTTTCACCTTGTTGACCAGGATGGTCTCGATCTCTTGACCTCGTGATCCACCCGCCTCAGCCTCCCAAAGTGCTGGGATTATAGGTGTGAGCCACCGCACCTGGCCCAAGACTCAGTCTTGAAAAAAAATTTTTAGAAGACTCATCT